AAGAAACAAGATGAAACCAGAGAGGGAGACAAACCCTAAGAGACTGTTAATCTCAGGAAACAAATTGAGGTTGCTGGAGGGGAGGTGGCGGGGAGGTGTGGTGTGGCTGGGTGATGGACACTGGGGAGGGTATGTGCTATGGTGAGCACTGTGTATTGTGTAAGACTGATGAATCCCAGACCTGTGCCCCTGAAACAGATCATACATTATATGTTAATAAAAACATAATTACAAAATTTTTAAATATCCTTTTTAGTGAGGAATGACGCCCAATAGGGAGACTTTCATCCACCAGCCTCTTGGAATATGCTGGACTGAAGAGTCTCAGGATTCACCTCCTGGATCTTTAAAAAAATTGTATATGAATTACTTCTTCTCCTTTCAGGTATCCCTCTTTTTTTTTAAAGACGTTTTATTTATTTGACAGACGGAAATCACAAGGAGGCAGAGAGAGAGGATGAAGCAGGCTCCCCGCTGAGCAGAGAGCCTGATGTAGGGCTCCATCCCAAGACCCTGGGATCATGACCTGAGCCAAGGGCAGAGGCTTTAACCCACTGAGCCACCCAGGTATCTCTGTTTTAAGAGACCTGATCTTCAGGGCTTACATCAAATGATGTTTTCCATCATGCCTCAACAGGTTTCAACTGATTTTGTTTTCAAGAGATTATTTTTTAGGCCCAGATTAACCCTATTCAGGAGGTTTATCACTGTTTCTGAGTTTTTCAGTGATGAATGATACTTATCATGAACAAAAGAAATGGCTATTTTGAACTTTGAGATGATATACCAAACTTATGAGACACAACCAGAGCAGTGTCTATAGGAAAGAGTGCAACTATAAGTAAATTTTTAAAAAGAATTTAAATCAATAAGCTAACCTTTCCCTTTAGCGGAAAGTAAGACCACATTGACTACAAAGCAGGGAAAAGGAAGGGAATCATAAAGATTAGAGTGGTGACAAAATGTTGAAATTTTTTTCACATTCTTTTTTTAAAATTTTTAATTTTTTTATTAACATATAATGTATTATTAGCCCCAGGGGTACAGGTCTGTTAATTGCCAGGTTTACACACTTCATAGCACACACCATAGCACATACCTTCCCCAATGTCCATAACCCAACACCCTCTCCTTACCAAAATGTTGAATTTTACCGAATATAAGGTCCTGGAAAAGAGCCAGTCCCTCCATCCTTCTGTGTTCTGGGAAATGGATTAAAACATAAAGCAACCTGCCCCATAGATTTCAGTAAAATGGGCTATCTGCTCCTCCTCATGATTCCTTTAAGATTCAGAAATGATTTGTTTACTTGCAATCAGGCCATATACAGACATTTCCCTTTTACCTGAACATACTGACAAGCCAAACATAGAGAACCAACTCCAGTTTTTAGCTCATGAAATATTAGGTGAACTATTTATCCATGTGAAACTAGCTAGGCACACAGATAAATATTTCCCTATCAAGCTGATTGACTGAGACCTCCCATGATCATAAAAAATCCAAAATATATGTCACCCAGTTATAACTTGATTCTCTCTATAAAAGTATAAAGCAAAACTACCCTCCTCAGACTCTTTGATATTTCATTGAGGGTTTCCCTCTTATTGCAATAGCCTAAATAAAATAAATTTCCTTATTCAATCAGTGTTGCCTTTGGCAGCAGAAATTAGTAGGAAAATCAACAAAACTGCATCTAGATTATTACCTTCTATTGAGGTGATCATATTGTGGGTACTTGCATATGCCCAAACTCATCAAACTGTACATACTAAATACAAACAATTATTTATATATCAGTTAAACCTCAAAATAGATACTGTTAAAATTTATATAAAATTTATTTTCAAGAGGAAACAGAATGCAATAGTAAATTGATAAATTGCTGAATTGCTGATTGTTTAAGATGACTTACATACAATGCATTCTTCAAGTTTATTTTGGCAACATATATTATGTATGTAAAATTGGGTAAAAGTCTAATGAAATAGGAGGCCAAATTGAAAACTTCTATGGATTTAAACATGATAATTTCTGGAAATGTCTAACAGTTTTCTCTAGCAGACTTTGAAAACCAAGATTAAATTTCAGGTAATTCCACAATTGTGGAGTGTCTACAAATGACAATTCATTCAACTACTTCTTGTTAAATTTTGGAAGCCATCATTGGGGTTAATTATTGGCATTTTGGAATAATAAGTAGATACAAAATAAGTAGCTGCTTCTTTTTAATATCTGAGAATAGATACCAGCTACAACACCCTCTAACCAGTCTCCACACACATTAAGTTGACACACTAAAAGTCTTCTCATCTAGAGAGAAAACTGTTATACATGCTTTTTGCTCTTGTCACAGAGAACTAGAAGTCATCTTATAGATTGTAGCTGACATAAATGTAATAAATCTACATGTGGTAAGTAGCCATCTTGGTCAGAAAAATGCCCCAATTTAAAAGGCCAAGATTTATGTGTAGAATTCTAGCCAGAATTCAAAAGAATTCCTGCTAAGCCACCCAAAATTTTTTGTTTAGTATATAATTAAACTCATCTGGTGGAATATTAATGTATGAATAATTAATGAGTAACATACTGAGCAACACGTAAATTTTCACTACTAATGATTTTAATCACTACTAGTGATTTTCACTACTAATTTCTGCTGCCAAAGGTAACACTGATCAATTAAGGAAATATATTTTATTTAGGCTATTGCAACAAGAGGGAAACCCCAGATCAATTTAGAGTTACTTTTTGCCACTTAGCCATTTACAACTAGGTAACTGAAACAAGGAGCAATTAATGTCACTTTGGTTAATTGCGTTTATGTGAAAACTGATAGAATTCAATAGGCCTATCTTTTCAGAAGTCATGAATCTTGTGAATTTGAAGATATGCTTGAAAAGGAACTCCCACTTACAGACTTAACCATTAAATAAATTTCTGAAGTATAATTAAAATAGTCATCACCGAAGCAAACTCAGTTTAAGTTTTGACTCAAGTACATTTCCTATCAACTGTAGTGTGACTCCTAACAGAACCTATGCTCATTTCCCCAAATTTTCAGCATCTACTTTTAATGATCCTTAAAGACAATGTAAATTCTATTGCTATTTCCTCTTATCTGTTAAGTCTCCATATGAAACTCCTAGAGTTCCTTTCTGTTAAAGCTTAAATACATTGAAAAATGGCATTTCTGAGGTAAATGCAGACGTTCACCACATAGACATGTAGGCATGATTGTTTATACTCTCCCTCCTCTGCATATTATAGAAAGGTCATGTGTGATCCAGATGTCTCAACTGACCATGAAGAACTCATTTAAAATTAGGTTTTGACTGATGAGGACAACAATGGGGTAGAAAATATGTCTTTGGATAACAAGTAATTTGCTCCTGCAGTTTTTGTATTTTTAAGTTTTTTTAAAACCTAATACAGATTATATTTGTTTCCTTCCACTGTCAACAGAGCAGAATTATTTCATACGAGAAATGCAGTTATTATGAATATGATCCTACACCTCTGCTTTCTCAGGTGTCTATTTACAACACACCTAGGAATTTTCTCAAACCCTGATAGTTCATCATCATCATAGCCCCCACATTGTTCTTTAACAATTATATTCACTGGCATTTTTTTAAAAGATTTTATTTATTTATTTGACAGAGATCTCAAGTAGGCAGAGAGGCAGGCCGAGAGAAAGGAAAGGAACCAGGCTCCCCACTGAGCAGAGAGCCCGACGGGGGACTCAATCCCAGGACCCTGAGATCATGACCTGAACCAAAGGCAGATGCTTTAACCCACTGAGCCACCCAGGTGCCCCAGAGGGAGAGAATCTTTCAAGCAGACTCTATGCTGACTGCAGAGCCCAACATAGGGCTCAATCCCATGACCCATGAGATCACGGCCTGAGCTGAAACCAAGAGTCTGATTCTAAATGAGTCAGCTAGGTGCCCCTGTGAGCATTTCTGAGAATTATTTAACAGTGTGCATGTGCAGGTATGTACATACACATTTATTTGACAGCCAAGGGGTAGAATATAGGGAAAACTTTTTTTTAAATTATGGTTTTATTTCTTCAGCATTTATCCATATAAGGAATTGCTTCTACTATCTGAAGGGTAAATACATGAAACAACAACAACAACAACAAAAAAAATGCTCAACCCTTCCAGGAACTTGAATATTGAGCAGAGCATAGGAAGGAAACTTGAATTGAATTATCCTAAGAAATACTTCAAAGCACTTTCCACAAGTTCCAACTACCCTGACAGCCTAAAGCTCCCTTACTTGATAATTTTCATGTCATCTGGTCTTCAAGATTCTCTTCAATTGTGTGAATTGTTTCTTCCCAATAATATTTTTCTTATGTTAGATGTGGTTGCTAACTAATAATGCCAGGGGAAGGAAAAGAGACTTTCCTATTTTGTGCCTGATTTTTGATGGACTGTAGTTTCTTACATGTCTCAATTTGAATACTACATTCTGGTAATTTTCTACTGAATAGCCTACCTCACTCAGAAATCCTCTTGCCTTAATGTAAGTGCAAATTTGATTTTCTGTGGCTTTTACAAATGGGAGACTGTTACTCTTACTTCTTGTTTAAGAGGCTGATTGGGGATTTTGAGTTGAAATATAACATGTGAATTTATAATTTTGCCTATGATATAGGCTTTAAGTTATTGTTTTCAAGAAGAACATCTGATTTCCAGAATAGATCACTGATGTTAAGTGGAAGTCTATATTTCACTTATACTATTTTTTTTTAATAGGAACAACAGGGAAGGTTTGAAATTGAGCACTGGTTCAGGAAATTAGATATATCTGCCATAAATCCTTTATAAGATAATCCACATCTGTTCCCTCCTTTCATTCCTGAAGTGCTATGAGATTCTGTTTTTGGCTGGTTTCTAGTTTAAGAGATTCTGTTTTCTTTGGCATAACGCTGATGGCAGCATATTTCACAGAGAACAAATAGTTGTTAATGAAAGAGCCATTGTCAGGCCGTAACGGCCATCGCGGCGGCCACGGCGGTCTCCCGGTCCCTTCCTCAGGTGAGCTGGGGCCACACGGACCCGGCAGAAGGAAGGAAGCTGTTGTGTGATTTGCTCCACCCGCAAAAGGAAGGAGAAAACCTCCATAAAAGAGAAGTGCTGAAGCTGCTGAAAGATGGCAGAAGAAGTGGTGGTAGTAGCCAAATTTGATTATGTAGCCCAACAAGAACAAGAGCTGGACATCAAGAAGAATGAGAGATTATGGCTTCTGGATGACTCTAAGTCCTGGTGGCGAGTTCGAAACTCCATGAATAAAACTGGTTTTGTGCCTTCTAACTATGTGGAGAGGAAAAACAGTGCTCGGAAGGCATCTATTGTAAAAAATCTGAAGGATACTTTAGAGAGAGATCACAAGCAGGCAGAGAGAGAGGAAGGGAAACAGGCTCCCTGCTGATCAGAGAGCCCGATGTGGGGCTCGATCCCAGGACCCTGCGATCATGACCTGAGCCGAAGGCAGAGGCTTAAACCACTGAGCCACCCAGGTGCCCCTGTTGAGGAATTTTTAATCTGTATTCATAATGGATATTGGTCAATACTTTCCCTGTGATATCTTTATCTGGCTTTGATATCACGGTAATGCTGACCTCATAGAATGAGTTATGGACTGTTTCTTCCCTACTCTTTTTGTAGAAATTTGAAAAGGAAATGTTTGTTAGAATTCATGAGTTAAAATACCCGGTCCTGGACTTTTCCTTATTGTGAAGTTTTGGGTTACTGATTCATTCTTTTACTTGTTATAGGCATTGGAAAAGTGAAAAGAAAACATAGTGTGCCAGATTCTGCATCTCCTGCTGATGATAGCTTTGTTGACCCAGGGGAACGTCTCTATGACCTCAACATGCCTGCTTATGTGAAATTTAACTACATGGCAGAGAGAGAGGATGAATTATCATTGATAAAAGGGACAAAGGTGATCGTCATGGAGAAATGCAGTGATGGGTGGTGGCGGGGTAGCTACAATGGACAAGTTGGATGGTTCCCTTCAAACTATGTAACTGAGGAAGGTGACAGTCCTTTGGGTGACCACGTGGGTTCTCTCTCAGAGAAATTAGCAGCAGTTGTCAATAACCTAAGTACTGGGCAAGTGTTGCATGTGGTACAGGCTCTTTTCCCCTTCAGTTCGTCCAATGATGAAGAACTTAATTTTGAGAAAGGAGATGTAATGGATGTTATTGAAAAGCCTGAAAATGACCCCGAATGGTGGAAATGCAGGAAGATCAATGGAATGGTTGGTCTGGTGCCAAAAAACTATGTTACCATTATGCAGAATAATCCATTAACCTCAGGTTTGGAACCATCACCTCTGCAGTGTGATTACATTAGGCCTTCACTTATTGGAAAGTTTGCTGGCAATCCATGGTACTATGGGAAAGTCACCAGGCATCAATCAGAAATGGCATTAAATGAAAGAGGGCATGAAGGGGATTTCCTCATTCGTGATAGTGAATCTTCGCCAAATGATTTCTCTGTATCGCTAAAAGCACAAGGGAAGAACAAGCATTTTAAAGTCCAGCTAAAAGAGACTGTCTACTGCATTGGGCAGCGTAAATTCAGCACCATGGAAGAACTTGTAGAACATTACAAAAAGGCACCAATTTTTACAAGTGAACAAGGAGAAAAACTGTATCTTATTAAGCATTTGTCATGATAATGCTGATCAGAAGTGACTGCTACACAGCTGTAATTCGTCATGTAATTGAAGACAGAAAATGTCAGTCCAATCATGTTTGATTGGAAATCACTTTCTGACCCTACATGAGAATTGACTATAATACATAAGTATTTTTATTATAACTCAGCCCATACATATATACTACATATGCAAAACATCTGCACAAAGCAGTTCCTTATCCTTGGTCTTCTGTTTTATTGTTTTCTTTGCTCTTTTTCTCTTTGCTTCTAATATTAAGGTTTTATATTTTGAAGAAATGATGCAGATCAAAAGTCTTTACATGGAAGAATATATTGGTTTATTTTCTTTATTTCCTTGTAAGGGTACCATATTAGTCACTTCTGCAATGGTTTCTCTTCATATAAAATTATTATATCAGTATATGGCATATGCTAAAATAAAAAAAAAAAAGAGCCATTGTCAGACTAAGAACACAGAAGAGATTGTTGAAACAGATCTGTGACTGTTTCAGGATGGGCCCCAAAGTCATGGCTCAATTAGACTTGCATAAAATTAATAATGCTCTGTGCATTCCAATACTCAGTTCAACAAACTTACATTCCCAACTTATCTCTTCCCTCTGCCATTGTCACTTGCCAATCCATTTTCCACAGTGCCGACAAAACTTTCTAGATTATATTTCTATTACTTCCAGACTAATATCCTTTTAAAATCATCCATAGGCCCTATAGGTAATGTCCAACCCCCTTTTCACCACTTCTTATCATATATCATGAATAATATCCATGAAAATTAAGTATGCAACATTTGGAAAAATACAAATGACCAAACCCGAAACAAAGACTAGAAAGAAGAGCCATTGAAGTGATTAAAAAACTAAGAATCAGTCACCAAGAAATCTTCAGGAGGTAAAAAACATCCAGGACAATGAAAAAAACAAACAACAACAACAACAAAAAAAAACCAACAGGAAGAACCAGTAAATGAAGAGGGATCTATTTAAAGGAATTAATCTTACTCCTACAATTTTGCATATACATTCCATGATAAGCACCTGCCTTGTCTGGAAGATTTGATTTCAGAGAAATGTTCTGAAGTGAAGAACTTGAATAGATGTGTAAGGATAGTACATAGGTATTGAGCTGAAAACACAGGAAACCAAGAAAATATAAAGCTAATGTAATTTTTTTTTTTCTGAAAATTTATAATGCAGTACATATTCTAAATAGATCAAAGGTATAATAAGCTAGGTCATGGCAAAAAATTGAGGCTGCAATGTTCAGTAGGAAGAATCTTGATTAGAAGTGTAAGTATCTGGGCGCCTGGGTGGCTCAGTGGGTTAAAGCCTCTGCCTTCGGCTCAGGTCATGATCCCAGGGTCCTGGGATTGAGGCCCATGTCGGGCTCTCTGCTCAGCAGGGAGCCTGCATCTCCTCTCTCTTTGCCTGCCTCTCTGCCTACTTGTGATCTCTCTCTCTGTCAAATAAATAAATAAAATCTTTAAAAAAAAAAAAGAAGAAGTGTAAGTATCTGATCTTTGTATTGGCTCAGACACCGTCTAATATTATGGCAATATATAAGGCAAACAACTCTCTTAAATATATCATTTGCACCTAAAAGAAACAGCGTTGTAAAAGAAAGTGAATGTAAAGCCTGACAGGATTTTTTTTTTTAATCATCTATTATTGGGGGCACTAGGATGGCTCAGTTGATAGATATCCAACTCCTGCTTTCAGTTCAGGTTATGATCTCAGGGTCCTGAAATCAAACCCCACATGGCTCAGTGTGGAGTCTATTTAAGATTGTCTCTCTCCCTCTCCCTTTGCCCCTCCCCTCGTGCATGTGCTCTCTTTCTCTAATAATTAAATCTTTAAAAAAAAAAAATCTGTCACTCACTGGGTGGGACTTAAGCAAATGATTTAACTTCTTTTTATGTTTTAGTCTATGAAAGTAAGGATAATTTATATTCATTAAATATTAGTCCCTTTTTTCTTATAAAATAGAAATAACATTTAGATTTTACTCATGTATCCCAAGAAACGATGTGAATTGAATAGTAAGTGCTCCTGTTAATTTTAACAGGATAAATTTACATTAAACTTACTTATTTCATAACATATTTTTTCTTAGGGATTCTGTATAATGGTTCATAAATACACCTCTTCCTAGAATCAATGGCTAACAAAAACTATGAGCAGAAATGAATCGTAGAGATTGTAAAATACAAGAAGACTGAGGGGTAGAAACAGGGCTTTTTGCCAGCCATGAGGAATAGTGTGACAGTTTCCAGTGGGCAAGTAATTCATCTTTTAATGTGTATTAATCAGGAATATGATGAAAATTATAATTCAGAAAGATGTGACTATAAGCAATGCAAAAAACAATTGTATAATGACAATTCTGAGGGAAGATGCAAATTTAGTCACTGTGGCAAAACCCAATAAAGAAATGACAATGTCCTGGGGCGCCTGGGTGGCTCAGTGGGTTAAGCCGCTGCCTTCTGCTCGGGTCATGATCTCGGGGTCCTGGGATTGAGTCCCGCATTGGGCTTTCTGCTCGGCAGGGAGCCTGTTTCCCTTTCTCTCTCTCTCTGCCTGCTTCTCTGCCTACTTGTGATCTCTCTCTGTCAAATAAATAAATAAAATCTTTAAAAAAAAAAAAAGAAAGAAAGAAAGAAATGACAATGTCCAAAACTAAAATTTGGGGTTAAAATACCATATGGTATGAATAGAGGTTTCTGTGATCTGTCCTGCATAACCAGCCACCCCCACCTGCCCGCATGCAGGCTAAGGAATGTTGTTAGACTTAAGCTGCACAAATGACCTTGGGAGTTTGATTAGCTGACATTAGCTGGCCTCCAGGTCAAACTGGCTCTTCTGGCTTCGACACCAAGAGCTATAAATTTTGTCTTACCTTCAAGCTGCAGGCTGAGTTGTCCCCCACCCCAGAATGAAATCCAGGAGTCAAGGCAAGCCTAAGCTCCTTGAATTTGTAAGGACACGCTAATACAAGAATGTGGCTCACTCCAAACAGCACACAAGCACACATATGTTTAACTTCAAGCCTGCATTTTTTTGCCCTATAAATACTGCTCTTCTTGAGATGGTCAGTTAGAAGTCTCACCAGAGGGGAGGATCCTTGCCCAGGGCTCTCCACTGGGACTCTAGCCTGGCTGTTTCCACTGGGCTACCCCAGCTAATGAAGCTGGAGATTGTACCCAATTCGATGTAACTGTGTCTTATTCTCCTTTACTGCTTAATATTGCCCTCATCTACTTGCAGATTTCCCTTTTCTTCTGTTTCTATTAGATTTTTATAGGATCAATAAAGTGTTGTTTCCTCTTCGAAACTAAGAGTATGTTTTCTGTGATTCTCTTCTTGAGAAAGAAGACATAGACCCACAGCTTTGGAGACTGGGAATGGAATGTTGAGCAGAATAAGAAAGAAAGTTGAGCAGAATAAGGAAGAATTCCAGCATGGCCCCCCAAAAGCAAATTTTCAGGAAGGCATTCTGGAATTATTTAGATCACTTCCCAAACAGCAAGGATCATATTGCTGGAAATAAGAGGTAAGTCCTACAGATGTTCTATAGTTTTGCTACTTAAAGTGTGGTTCCTGAACTAGCAACGTGGGCTTCACCTGGAGGCCCACAGGGGATTCAGAGTCATAGATCTTACCTTAAAACTACTGCATCTGAATCAGAATTTTCACATTATACAGATGACCTAGATGGTCACTGGAAACAAAGAATAGAATTAGAGTTGACCTCCTTACCATCACTCACAGTCACCACTCACTTGAGAAATTTGTTTCTTGTCTCTAACTTCAGTTTCTGCACATCTAAAGCTTCTGGTTCCCAGAACTGGAATGGGCCACATACCACTGGACAGAGCATGCAGCCCACTAAAACTAAGGCTACTACTGCTTATGCTCATTTTAGGCTTTTCCAAAGTAGTCACGTACATGAAGAAAGGAGTTACTTTACAATCAAGGGAAATGCCCTTTATTATTATAAAGATGTGTTTTTGCCACAAAATGTGAACAGTGAGAGTGTTTCTTAAATGTAGTGGATTCCATGAATGTGTGCCTGAATATGCAACTGCAGTAGTGATGACCTCACATAACACTGTAGTCGGGAGCTCAGATCCCCAGGGATAAAGATCTAGGTTCCCTGCTGAGCAAGAGACCCAGACCAGCAGGTATGCTGCTGAGAGTAAATATTCTAGAATAAGTGGTAAAGGAAGATGATGGCTGCTGGTTACTGACTTGGGACCAATTTCATCCATCAACAGGAAATGTTAATTGGCTCAATAAACTTTTCTTTTTTAAGTTATTAATACCCACTACCTAGGGAATCAGCAATAGTACACTATAAACTTAGCATGTGGTACCTGGTGGGCTCTGTAGATGGACTGCAGCAGATGGACTGTAGCAGATCCTGCATCTGACCCATCCATATCCCCTCCACTTCTATTTCCAGAAATACTGGCCCATCTTCCAGCTACCAACACTTAGGTTTTTTGGCTGAAATTTTTCTTGACACTATACTCCTGTCTGTCTGCAAATAAGCTATAAGTATGGGGCATTAACAACTTTAGAAGTCACCTACTGGTGGATAAATGCACTTCTTGCAGCTTTGGTGATATAACTGAATCATACATTCTACTCTGACTTTAAGAATTAACCCACAGAATTTTTTCCAGTTGCTCATAGTAGTAACATCTGATAATGTACTTTTTGTCTTCCTTCTCCTTATCTCATTTCACACTCACCACTTTTTCTGAGATCCTTTCACATGTAAAACACTAGCACCCAAATCAGTATCTCAGGGGACTCCAAAAAAAGATGAATACCACCAGCATATAGTTACATTACAATCATGTACTTGGAAGATATTGCTTATGGACTTGGTAAATCATAGCGGTACAAAGAGATTCAAAATAAGAAACACCAGCATTTAAGGACAAGGGAAAAATGTCTCCAATGATCCAAGAAAAGCATTAGTAAAACAGGAGAAAAATTGAGAATTTGCTCTCAATAAGCTAAACGTTGGCAAGAAGGCAGGAAACAT